ACTGAACTTGGTACAACATTCCCAACTAGCCACCCACAGTATATACTGAACTTGGTACAACATTCCCAACTAGCCACCCACAGTATATACTGAACTTGGCACAACATTCCTTCACTGATTAATGTTACTTGCTAGCCACACATACTGAACATTTCACACATCACAACATTTTTCACACTGCCTAATGTTGCACACTATAACCATAATACTGGTCAGTCCCGACAAGATGCAAGTATAAGAAAACCTTGGGCAAAATTTAACTTTGTATTCATTTTAATACTAGTCAGTAGAAAACCTTGAACAAAACCTACATCATACTTATTGCTGAAGATCTTATTAATTTATATTTATGATGGGTTTCTCCTTTTTTAGACATAATTTCAAAAGAACTGGTAAATGTTTATGATATGTTTACTTATATATTTTCATTAAATTACTATAGATATGTTTTTTTTTTCTAACACATTTCAGGTCACTTTTTTCTAAGGTTTAGAATTAAGACATAACCTTAATGTTAAAACATTTAGAAAAGTACTTACTGCCTTACATACACAGTTTGTCTCAAAATGTAAAGAATTTAGAGGCTAGATAAACAAATAAAAATTTTAAGGTTTATAACCACATAGTAAACAGATTGCTTTACCTGAAATTATGTCTTTCCAAGTATTCAAATACTGAAAGTTTTATTTTTGCTTTTTTGTTGACACTGTGAGAACCTCTGCCTGTGATAACATATACCACCATTTTCCTGTCAGGAGAAACTCTCAGCTCTTCCATCTTACATGTTAGGAAATTTTCAAGTGCTTCTAAAGCCTCCTGTTGATAGAGTCCATGCAAATCCAAAACAAAGTCTGCCATGTCTTTATTACTAAAATACAATGTTGAAAACAGAAAAAAGATCTTTTAACAAACATTATTACAATCTATAGTTAATAATGAAAATAGGAGATAATAAATTGTTACACAAAAATGTTTAACAATTGTTACACACACAGAGGTTGAGTACATTATATTACAATGAGTTTGGTGTACTACCACAATGTTACAGTCCATGTTGTCTGCCACATCCCATAATTCTCTATATGATGACTGCACATTTTGACAATAGCCCATTATAAGGCTGTCATGTCAAAAGCATACCACTATTCTGTCTTTACAGGCTTTCCATAATACATCTAATGTATAAGAAAAATGGTTTTCCAATATCCATTTCAACAGTCCAACAGGGTAAAAATCCAAATGGGTCTGGCAATTTGACAGGTATATGTCCATATGGAATAGCAGAAATATCCATTTCATTCTCCAGCTGCTAGAGATATGCGACAGCTGAATGAATTTTGTGGAACCAGCTTGTGTACATGTGAATTGTGTCACATTTCCAGATGGAGCTTCTTCATTATGTTACATACTTTTGGCTGGGACAAGTAGATGGCCTTTGCCACTGACCTTTGGGTTTATGGTACTCTGACCCATTACATAACACTGCACCTTGCTTCCAACAGCTTGGGTATGACTTACTGCAGGTCTGTTAGTGGATAGTCCTGGTGGCCCAAGTTGATCCATATTAATTTGTTTTTCAATGCCATTAAGTGAAAGGACAACCCAATTTTTATTATCTGAATGTATGAATATTTTGTGTCAGAAATGGCTGTTACCTACCCTACGAACATCTAAGCAATATAGAAAGATCTTATGTATCCTGTACCACTGAAACTTTGTAACAGCTGCAGTTGTCACATGACTTGCTGATTTGTACAATTAAAATATTAATACAATGTAATCAACTCTGTGTATATGATGTGTGTAGACACACACATAACTGCCAAACGTTTTCAATTTTATATAAGTTCTATGAAATTATCTTATAATTATGGACTTATCATAACCAATGAGATGAAAAGAGAAATAAGTTGAGGGAAATGTACCTTCTTTCTTTAACCCAAAGCATACAGGAAGGGCAAAATGCTCATGTCACAACTATTTAGTTATTTTCAAAATTTAATTAAATGTATCTTAATAAATTTAACATCAAAATATACTTTATAATTTCAGTTTGTATGTTATCTGAGTTTCAATTTATTAATTTCAAAGGTAAATATTTAAATAAATCTCAATCTCCAAGTCACATGATGCAGTAGCACTCCGACTTCTCCATTACACATTTTTTTTCTCTTCCTTTATAAGCGCTTCAGGCTGTTCAGCCAATCAGAAACACACATTGTAGATAATTATAAATTAGAATATAAAATTACAACGTATTATCTTCTTGCTTTACTGAGATATCACTATATTTGTTTAACCCACATAATGTGCCTCTCCCATCTTCTCTGCCTTTTAAAAAATGTTGATATTTCTGACAACATTAATGGGCATGTTTATAACGAATAAAAAGAGCACATTCTGAACAACATAAATCAGATGATATGTCTGCTTTGTTTTAGCAATCAAAGATGATAGTTCACAAAGAAAGCTTGACGTGTTTAAACTAAAGACATTGCTTCAAGCAGTAATGGAATGTTTTGACCTATTTATAGGTTAGTTAAAAAAGTGAGATAAATCAAAGTAGCATTGGGACACATTATTCTATTCACTGGTATATTTTTGTGTGTTGTAAAATGTATATTCAAAGGCCAAACAAATTATTTTTCGTACAACTAATACAGTGGGAAACAAACAGACTTACTAAAACATGCACATAGGTGCAAAAGGCTTTAAAACTAAAGCAAGTGATAAATTTCTTGTTTTTATGTATACCTTTTATTTATTGTTATATATTTTGTAACAAAAGTAACTAAAATGTAAAAATTAGAAATGTATGAGGTTAGATAAGAAAACAAATAAAAAAAAATTTAAAACTTTCTTATGATCTCTCTTTGAGGAACACATGCAGGTTACAATCTGATAGTTTGTTTACTCTCACCGAGTGATTTATTGTTTAGGTTACAATCTGATAGTTTGTTTACTCTCACCGAATGATTTATTGTTTAGGTTACAATCTGATAGTTTGTTTACTCCCACCGAGTGATTTATTGTTTAGGTTACAATCTGATAGTTTGTTTACTCTCACCGAGTGATTTATTGTTTAGGTTACAATCTGATAGTTTGTTTACTCTCACCGAGTGATTTATTGTTTAGGTTACAATCTAATAGTTTGTTTACTCTCACTGAGTGATTTATTGTTTTGTTACAATAAAACTAAAGTAGTTTTGAAAAATTTAGAAGTTTGAAACAGTTGGGATAAATAACTAACTGCCTATCACAATCTGCAGTTATCCTAGAAACAAAAAATGGTATTTTTGATTTCATTTCAAATTTTTCAGCTTTTCATTTTACTCTACACTGATGATTTTGCTATAGTTAGTGTTAGGATATAGAAAATAAGAGCTACAATACAAAGTTTTACTGGAAAAAAAAAACGATATTCATTTAGGAGATTCTAGAGGTTTTACAAATGAAATATGAAAGTTGGATGAATAGAAGTATTCTTATTCTTAGCATGAAAATCACCTCAAACTGATACAGTAAATGGTTCGTACATCATAGACAAATCTCTCGTACAAAACACCTGTGATGTTTACTAAAAGCCTGTCAAATTTTGTGAAGATACATATTGTACATTTAAAATTATAGTATGCATGTTTCATAATACATGGTGGTTAAAAAGTTGGTGAACTTGCCCGATCATAGGGTTAACTAGTTTGAGTAATTTTACCACATAATTTTTGGTTATTATTTCAAAAATATTTCACACTATTTAAGCATGCTTAATATTCTCGGAAGTACAGTGCTCATACTTGTTATAAACAATACACTGAAATTTCTACTAACTTGTATTTTCTCATATTATATAGTGAACTATTCACTAACTTCTGTTTCTCTTCACCAATGATTAATTTTCTACAGTGAAATCTTTGGTAGCTTTATTTTAATAATTATTCTTGTTTCAGACTTACCTTTGTTCTAATAACTTTTCTGCTGCTCTTTGATTGGCATCTTTTAGTTTCTGCGTGTGTAGGTGGCCCTAGAGAAATACAGCCAATTATATAACAGATCATACTATTAGCTACTAACATCAACTCACAAAATTACAGCACTCTGTTTTGATAAACTTAATATTATTTTATTTCATTTTATTTACTTGCAAAAGTAACCTTAGGTTACAAAATATGACTATAACTGTACAAATGGAAGGGCACGTGTAAGATTGCAGAGAAGTTGAATTCAGAGCTATCTTCACCCATTCTAACTATTGTTCAATCACAGCTCCATCCTCACACATTCTAACTGTTGTTCAATCACAGCTCCATCCTCACACATTCTAGCTTTTGTTCAATCACAGCTCCATCCTCACACATTCTACCTTTTGTTCAATCACAGCTCTATCCTCACACATTCTAGCTTTTGTTCAATCACAGCTCCATCCTCACACATTCTACCTTTTGTTCAATCACAGCTCCATCCTCACACATTCAAGCTTTTGTTCAATCACAGCTACATCCTCACACATTCTAGATTTTGTTCAATCACAGCTGTACTAAAATTGTCTATTATCATAGTATATTATGATTAAGTAGTATTTATTGAAGAGTACTGGAAGTATCCCCAGGTTTTATTGACTGGTGTTTTGTTATAAAAATGGTGAAAGTACTCCCAGGTCTTAATGAGAGGTGTTTTGTTATACAAGTGGTGGAAGTATTCCCAGGTCTTATTGAAGGTTATTTTGTTATACAAGTGGTGGAAGTATTCCCAGGTCTTATTGAAGGGTGTTTTGTTATACAAGTGGTGG